TAACACGGCACAGTTCTTTAACTGCCTGCAGCAGAACTCTCTCACTACCCAAGGAACTGCTTTCTTTGGGTAATAGCAGCAGTACCTGAACTTAAAAACTATAAGGAAGTTGACAATGTGGTGAAGACCATGGACTTCACCAATAATCCATATCAAACTAAATGACAAAACAGTTAATAATTTGGAACAAGTAAAGGGCTCATAAAAAAGGATTATCATAATAATTAAAGTTTGCAAAACAGTTAGGCCAAACATCTTGTACAGAGCAAACAGTAAGGAATTTAAGAGTGGGTAAGAGGGTGGGGAATGAAACAAGTGAATGAAATCTTCCAATATCACCTTCTGCAAGATGATATGGATAATTTATTTGCATTTCTGAGATTTGTTGTATGTTCTGCACTCAAAGTGCACTCAGACCAATTTGTCTACATGATTTCTGAAGGACAGACGACTAAAGCTTTTGCCAGATGACAGAAGAAAATTGCTGCTGTTTTCAGGAAATAAAGATGGCATTAATGAGTTAATAAGCTACTACTGGAATCTAAGACAGCACAACAAAAAATAAGATGATGTTTTTTCACAAAAATTTTACATAAATAACTATATCACACTATCTTCCTTACATAAAATACCTGGATGAGCATTCCTTTTCAATGTGTTTAATATGTATACCATTGGAAATCAAACTCCTGTGTCACCAAGCACACATTTAATATATTAATTTTCTCTTGTGGCAAGTTTAAATGCCAGACACATTTTTAAAAAGGACAAACACGATTGATCCTTTCATCACTACACTCTTCTGAAACAGAGTTGATTGATGACTACTAGTTACAACAGACAAGTTGCATAATCTGGTCTTTTTATTGCACTATTTTCAGGTGTTTACACAAACTACTAAAATACTGAAGCCTCCTTTTTCTACCAGAAGTTTCAATTTTAGACATTTTAAGACTACAACAAATTATATAAAAGCTGAAAGATTTTCACCAGTTCAGTAAACATGATGACCTCAATCCTACCGGTCACCATAGAGTGCAGAGATAAAGAGTTCCTCCAAAGAGTGGCGACTAAAGCATGATCCTTGACAGCCAAACGAAGAGCTCAGGTATACATGTTCCCTTAAACATTTATTCAGCTACTACACAGAAGCAAATAAGTAGCTGCAATATGCACATGCAGGATTCAATTCCCATTCTTCCCTGTTCTGATCATCCTGTGAGATCCTCAGCACATTTTGCCTCCTTTATAGCTAGGGACCTACTCAAATCACGGAAATCACAAAATAGAGCGATGTCCAAAAATCCACAAGGGGAAAAAAAAAGCTAAAATAAAATACTGGCTCCACAGTAGGAGCCAGGAGTCCTTACGGCTTGCTGCAGCCCAGTCGCTGGGAGGGGGGGAAGGGGGCCACCATGAAGGGGAGCAGGCAAGATGACTGCCACCTCTGCCCCTCGTCTCTGATGGGCTGAGAGGGCTGCCTGTCATGCAGCAGCTATCCACACAGATGACTACTGTACAGCGCGATTTTTAACTAGTTAACCAAAAACTACAAACATACCAGTTTCATATAAAATCACTTCTCAGGCCATCTGATAGAATGCAAGAACTTTTAGAAGGAAAATAGTTCATTAACGAGTACAAATTTAAAAAAAGCAACCCATACTGTTTGGTTAGATTTGCTTAGAAGTATTTTCCCCAAATGTACCTTTGCATTTAACTTCAGAGTGATTAGATGCTGTCGACCACGAGAGTCTTCTGCTTTTAGCTTTACAGAACTAAGGCCAGTATCCACATACACGATTCTGAAGGGAAAGAAAACTCGAGTTGTATTAGCAGGAATCACAAGTTGAAATATTTGCTATACTCCTATTAGTCTGTTACAAATATTAATCAGAGGAAGTCCTGTATGCCAGCCATTTCTGCTGTTGTAGATTTACTGCTGTTAATACACCAGTCTACTGCTTAATGCAGTCATATATCTTTGGGTTATTTACAATGTGTGTCAAGGCTCATGCTGTGGTCAGTGAGCACTATGTTTCAGTTTTCCATCACTGGAACCTTTGACACACACAGCATGTTCCTGTCAGCCTCTACTTATGTACACATTAAACTTCCTGTCAAATTCTTTGATCCATTTCTACAGTTTCTTACAGTATGAGACTTTTATGTTCTCAATTTGCTTCTCTCCTCAATGAAGTTCTCCTTTATTATCAATACTGTTATTGTAGAAAATTCAGTTGATATTGGTTCATATACTCAGATTGATTTTCTAAAGAAAACACAGTACTGAACAGGTATAAAGTGAGTTATTTACAATAATTTCTCTCATGTTATGACAGTTTTATGCTGTATACATGTACCAAAGCAAGTATTAAGTACATATTAAAGGTCACTAAGATTTTACACATATGACACAAAGACAAAGGTTTTGTTTAAGAGGTCACTGATTTGAGTTTCCTATAACAATGGAGATGAATACACGTTCAAATACATCATTCTTTGGAAAGATGGTCTCTTGAGTAGTTTAAACTACTGCCAAAAACATTCAAACTTAGCTGTATATTTACTAGTGAACTGGACATGCGGATATTTTGAAATTCTGACAATACCATTCTCCTGTAAAAACAGTCCAAGAATACTGTAGGGCTCATCACCCAGGCAAGGCCCATTAGAGTTCAAAACTAGCATCTGCCTCCTGACCTGAGGTAACTATTAAAAAAAAACAAAACAAAAAAACCACACCACTCCCTCCCCCAAAATTACATTCTAGTCCAGTCACTTGAGCCATTTTCCCAGCATGCTGACTCTTTCTCAAGAGAAGTGGGGCAATGGAATCATAGAAGCCTTCTCTACGCAAGAAAAAAATAGGTCTGAACTAAAAGGTTTGTATGTTCTTGGACAAGTAACGAAGATAGTGAAAAGAAGAAAATGATCTCTACTCTGTAGCACAAAGCCTCAATAGGCCGGCATTGAAAAAACGACCAAACCCTTCCTCCCACCCCCACTCCCCAAAAAACCTAGAAATGGTAGCACTTGTGCGACTATAAAAAAAATACAATAGTATATTTCTGTAGGAATTAACATTAGAAAATTCTAGTACAAAGATATTAAATGCTCCTCTGAACTCTTTGGGGTAATTTGATGTGAAATTTTTCCCCTAAAAAAAATTAGTGCTAAATTCAACCATTTAAGTAACATGGTGTAATTCAACTAAAAAAAATAATCTATAGACATTCATTATTTAAACCTGTTCTGTCTCCATCTTAAATCAGAAAAACCAGAAGCTCTCACTAAAAGTACATAGTGAGTTTTCAGAAAACAAGAACAAGGAGATTCTAATGCCATCTTTCACCTACAGTATTTGTTGGGGGGGAAACAATATTTCAAACTTTAAAGCAGAAATCTGATGCTAGAGAAAACTATATAGGGTTATGTCCAATATGTAGTATAACTGGTACCTCCCACAAAACATCAGCAAGTCAAATAAAAAAAGTTGAAGGGAAACTATTAAAGTTTTTTGGTTTTAAAATTTACCCACTTTGACAATGGTCTCATTTGTTAGATTTTATCTGAAGGACTTCAGCTTGTGTTTTTTTGGTGTGGTTTTGTCCTGGTTTCGAACAAGTTTTGTTACAATGTTCACTGTAGACTTTAAAACAGCATTCAGATATATCTATACTTCTAGATATAGTTAAATATCTATATAATAATAATAATAATAATAATAATAATAATAGTCTTTTAAAACATTTTGTTAGGAACAACAATTGCATGACTGTTAGAAAGTTTTGAAAATGTTTGTCTTAAGAAAAAAAATTATTACACATTTGCTTGTATTGGACAGACTTCAAAACAACATTCAGATTTACTCTTCATTTAGAAAATGATGAAAATATTCTCAATCAAAAAAAAAATCACTAAATAATTTACAACAGGTCACAGATGTGTCTGGTGATACTGCATGGTTTTATTTTAAAATATACCATTTATTGTAGTTCCCAAGATATGCTTACCATTAAAGCAGGCCTTTACTATTAATAATTTTAAAAATGAAAAAAATATATATTTTGTTATATTTAAAGCCAATCTGAAAATCCTTACATATTGTTCTTACTCTAACCCAGGGGTAGACAATTATTTTGGCTAGAGGGCCACTTAATGAGCTTTGGTGAGCTGTCAAGGGCCGCAAGGGTAGCCCTGCCCCTAGACAGGTGCCTAATCTCCTAGTTGCCATCTTGGGATTGTAAGTGCCTCTCCTAACCCCTGACCTTTACCACGGGAAGTCCTGCCCCTTGCTCCCAGAAGTATGGGGGAAGTACTCCGGGGGGGTGGGGAGGGGAGTGCCATATTGGAACCAGAAAAAAAAACAAATCTTATACTAAAAGTCAAACATCTACTATAAGATATTTTATAAATATTTTTGTCCTTATATATGTGCATTTGCATAGTGTATATACTGTTGATTACATAATAGTTCAAAAATAAAGTCTTACTCTTGTATATTGTGTGTGGGGGTATGTGGGAAGGGAGTGGGTTGAGTGGAAGGGTGGGGAGTGTGGGGACCCTCCCCCACATGTCCTACCTCATGGCACACTTACCCCCACACACAGCAGACCCTCTGGGTGTTCATGGCCTGTGCAGGCGCAGCCACCGAGAGGCGCACATCTCCAGCCAGGTCTGGGAGCTACACATGGTGGCAAAAAGCAGAGTCAGGCCGGTCTGCCTCCATCATGTGGGGCTCCCTGAGGCTCACAAACAGATCCTGAGACTCATGTGTCACCAGGGGGAAAGCCTATGCAATGGAGCTAGAGGCCTGGTCCTGGCTCCCTGCAACCATGTGCAGCTCCTGGCAGAGTCCTGGGATCTGCATAAAGTGGCAGGGAGCAGGGAAGGCAGCTAACTCCATCACACAGCACTTCCCCCCAGTGGTGCGCAAGTCTCGGGAGTGGCATGCGAGTCACAAGGGACCCCATGCGATGGAACCAGGCCAACCCAGGCTCCACGCTCCTGCCACCCCGAAGGGTGAGGGCCCTGGGTTCCCGCCAGCCCCAGCCCCACACTCCTGCCCAGCTACAGCTTCCTCCCAAACTCTGCCACTTCCCTACCTGCTTCCCTGAGTGAGTGCTGCAGCAGGGACATAAGGAGGAGGCACTGGAGGCTGGGGAAGCCAACCAGATCCCCGAGCAGCAGTGGAAGCAACAACCGCACCCAGAAGCTGTGCATTCTGGCCGGGGCTCAAGCCCTCCTGTGCATGAAGGTGGAAGTGAACCATGCAGAATGGCAGGGTACAATTAATTGGTGGGAGCCTATAGGCAGAGATGAAAATCGCTTGGCAGACCAGATCCAGCCCATGGGCCATATTTTTTCCGCCCCTGCTCTAACCTCAGCAAGTCTAAACATAAGTGATGTACTGAGATAAAATCTGTAATATGTTTAGAAATGAGGGGTTGAAGGAAGAAGTGATCCAGAATATACAGTATAGAAACAAAGCTTGAACATAAACTGTTATGCAATGCGTACAGCAATGATTCTCAACCATGGTGCTGTGAGATCGGCAAGATCCACAAGATAAACCCAGAGATTTCAAACAGAAATCCATGTTGTCAAAAACAGTTAGACCTGTTGTGGTCTTTCTGAGTTCTTTGCAACAAAATAATTGATTTATTATTTTTCCATAATCAAAAAATGAATGAAAGCTATGAGCAGGCATTTTCCAAGGGGTGCCTTGAGTCTAACGAGGGGTGCCTTCAAGTCTAACAAGATTGAGAACCACTGCTACATAGTGAAAAACTTTTGTATTCCCAAGTTTCTATTTTACTATAAATGGTTTTGTGGACTTCAGAAAAAAAATCTTCTGCAATTCAGTACACTCCAGGTCAATGGCCCATAATCCAGACTGTAAAGTAGAATAGCTACAGATTAGCAGTCAACAACTGCCTATACACATGCTTGTTTGCATTTTAATTAGAACTCGAGATTAATTAAGTCTGCTCCATTTTTTAATTTGAATGCTCCAGTGTCGCCTCACTGTCATGTCTATTAAGCCTCTGTGCATTTTAAAATTGCCGTGGGGGCACTTTAGCTAAACCTTGCCGAATGAGGTTTAGCTAAAGCATCCCACAACCATTTTTAAATATGTGAGGTTTAACAGATATGAGGAGGAGGCATTTTATTTAGAGCAGCTATCAGGGAATCGCTCTAATTAAAACAGCCCCCTCACTCCTGAGCATCTGTATAGGCAGCCAACAGGCCCAAGCTTATCAGAAGGAGAACTAAGTTTCCCATAAGACAGTGGTTCCCAACCGCGGATCACAAGCCAAATGAGGGTTGCAGGGGCAATGCCAACAGCACGGCACAGAAAAGATGAGTTGTGCTGGGTGCCGAGAGCTCCCCTGCCCCACTGTCACAGTCCATGCCTCACACAGCAGGGCGCGGGGAAAAAAAAGGTTGGGAAACACTGCCAAAAGAAATCCAATAAATGAATATAGGAACACTGTCTAGATATGGCAGAGCAATTAGCAGTAGTTCTCAAACTTTTTAGACCCGAGAAACTCCTCATTGGGTCTAAACCCACCAAAGATATGGCTACATGAATAATTTACTGCTAAGTCAGGTAAGGATAGACATTTCACAGTAACTACTGGTGTGCATGGTCTTACACTGCATTTAGTGGGATAAGCTACTTTCTACTTATCTGGTTAATCATTCTGCACAGAAGTAGCCATTCTCAGTAGCCAATGCTTTATAAGGTCACCCCCTACCTTACTTCGTAGTAGCTTGTACATGAAGCCAAACCATGACTTGCCTTTCCTAGAAGTAATAGTCAAGCCCAATGGTCAGATCATCCTGTCAAAACACTAGAATGTCCTTTGCTTCAGCTGACTATTTGCTTGTGTCCCCTTTCTAATACCAATATCTTAACATCAGTAATTCACCGACATCCCACAGCATGAAAGTGAGAGCAAATAGAGGGTTTTTATTACATTCTTTGAATCAGTGACTGAAGTTTCTTCCTTTTTGTTCCTAGCAGATACGTTAGGCAGCACTACAAATATGATTGCACGACAGGACAGGCTATAAAAATCTCTTCTGTATGTGCTGGAAATCTGATGGAAAGATTCACTTAAATCTAAACTGGGATAGCAAATCAAGACTCAAGCATCAAAAACAAAGTACTATAATCACTGCAGCTTACACCCTTGCAGGATTCTTTACTGTCAGCCAACACTCTTGACCATCAGTGGCAAGAAGGAAAAAAAACATAGACTATTTCAGTCTTTTATTTACATAACTCCAACAAACATCTAAGAAGCTCATTTTCACACACTGATATTTGGGGAAGAAAAAGATATAATGCTGAATTTAGTATTTTCAGCTGAAATATTGATCCCTTTATGGACTTTTTTAAAGTTCAAGAAAAAAATTAGTCTACATGCCATAGGTTTTTTTGCACCACAAAAAGAAAGTTTATGCCTTTTCTAAAACCCCTCCGCAGGACCAACTCTCATCATTCTTGTGTGTACGAGACAGACTATTGCATCTTTTACCTGATACTAGAAAGGACTTTGTTTACAGCTAGTGCTGGTTGGTTTTAATGCTAGTTTATTTTTAGTTATGTTTTGGGTTAAACTTGCCTCTAAGAGAGCATGCAAGTTTCATTATATTTCTTTCCCT